TAGTGCTCTGTGAACACAAATCAGTTAGCAGAAATCAGTTAAATGACGAAAAATTAGGTGTCTATTTACTTGTGATCACTCAGTGAATATTAGAATCTAGTATATACATCTATTTGAACTGTTTGCATTGTTGGTTTACAGTTGAATATAAATAATTTGAAACTTATTGTAATCATAAATTCATTCACATATATATATATATATATATATATTGTCTTTTATAAAAAATAAAATTTACAAATGTAAGGTGTTTTAATACTATTTTTAATAATTTGCTTTAATTTAAAAATGATGGAAGTAAAATTGATTGCTAACTTATATTAGAAATTTTCTATAAATATTAATGTGTCATAGAATAACTTGAATAAAGTTTAATGTTTTATTTTAAGGGTCTTGCTTCCTGTGGTGCCTGGTCCTGTTTTGATGAGTTTAATCGCATTGATTTAGAAGTTTTATCTGTAGTAGCCCAGCAGATCTTAACTATCCAACGAGGGATTCTTACAAAAGTTGAAACTCTTCTATTTGAAGGAACAGAAATCAACTTAAATCCAACCTGTTCTGTATTTATCACCATGAATCCTGGTTATGCAGGTCGTTCAGAGCTTCCAGACAACTTGAAGGTGAGATAAGTCCATTATATTTCTCTGAACTACTCCTAACTTTTTTTTTCTTAGGTATATATATAATTGTATTTCTACAAGCTATTTAAGGTTTTCCAACACCTTGATAAGAATATAAATACCACTATACATGTCTTTTAAGTCTTAATTGAACTACTTTAACTTTACCTAATTTGTTGGAAAGATTTGTGATTTATATCTATATAGACTTCAGAAGTTTATGACAACTTGAAAAGGAGCAACATGTCCTTATATAAAAGTCCATTAATTCATAAATAAAATACTTCAGAATTTCCTTATTTATATAAGTTTAATTAGAAATTCTCATAAAGGAATTCTTCAACTGTTTTAGAAAATTGTCTAAACTATTAACCAAAAGACTAACCTAATTTGGTTTCTTCGACAGATTTTATAAAGATTACATAAGAAATGTTTTTAGTATATTTGTTATTAAGTTATATTCAGCTATTGATGTTAACATTAGCTAAGACAGTATATGTATATATTATCAGTACATTACTCCCCTCTTGCCACGGGCACCTTTTCCTGACCATGTCACAGGGTTTTAGTGAGTTACGTTATAAAGTTAATTAAGCTACTTTCTTGTCATGGTATATGAAGACATTTGGAATAAAAATGTACTAATAATCCAAATTTTAATAGTATAAAAGCTTTAAGTTCTCAGTTTATAAAGCAGAATCCTGAATTTACTCAAGTAGAAGGATTGTGACATTTTCTCTCTAGGCATACCCTCTTCTCTAATGTATTTACCACTCTTCCAAGAAGTACGAAATTTAACATAAGTTACTCGTTATAATGTTGTTATCACTCAGGCAAAGAATAACTTTCACAGCCTTTAATCCTATTTGGTTACAAAGCTGTCAAATAGAAAATTGGACCCCTCTTGCCATGCCCACCTGTCATATCCTCTCTTTCAGAAATTGCCAATAGTTCTCTCTGACTTTTAGTACAATATTATTTATAATCAATAGAAAGCTAAGATTTTAATCTGTCAAATGATGTATGTTATTACCTTGTTTTCTGTACAGAGAGTTCCAATTTTGCTTTCAGTTCAAACTTTATTCCTACAGGAAACACATTGATAAGCTTAGATGAATTTTGGACAGCTCTTGTCACATAGCTAAAAAGCTAGAAAAATTGTGATAATCATAGGATATTGCCTGCTTTTTGCATGTTATTATTCTGTGTTATTTGGTGCATTATTTGATTAAATAAAAAAACATTTAGTGCAGTACTATCATTAGTATACAAAAGTAGGGTTAGATGTCATCGACAGAAAAGAAAATTAAGACCCAGGTAAGTACTTTATTTTTTGTTTTCATGTGTATTCTTTATCTGTTATTATAAAAAGTAACAAAAATGTAATAATTGGAAACTTTTTAGGTTAGATTAGGTAAAATAAATAACAATAATATTGATAAAAAAATTTCACAAGGTACACTTGAAAACAACTCACTAGTAGCTCTTGCATTATTTAATTCAATAGCATAACGTGAGTTGCATGTTTGCCAAGCGATTTTCAACTTATATGGCATGAATATTAGTTAGACAATAAAACAATATAATTTAAGTATAAACAGATGTATACTGTTATTAATTTAAAGTTATTTAGGATAAACAAATGTAGTTTCATGTTACAATTTGAAGTCATTCCAGAAAGAAAAGATGGTAATTTAGACTTACTTCAATATTTTTTTTTGGTGGTTACGAGGTCAGTCAAATTGACCAACCTTGTAAAGTTTTATGGAGAAAAACATTTGAAATTTATTTAGGAGATTGTTTTTTAGAGATAAAAACAATTGAAATTTGATATTTTTGAGACAAAGAAAATAACTTTACATTCAGACAAAAAAAAAGACTTGATATATTCACAAACAAACCTCTAGTAAAAATACTTCAGTAAAAAATCTGATTTTTTTGTTTAGAAAAGATTTGTAATGCTTACTGAAAGTCTGCAAAATGTTTTGGAGATATCCACACTTTACTAAAAGTTATAGTATGGAAATTATAATGAGCACTCCATGGCTACCAACTTGTTCAATTAGACCGAGCATGTAGCAGTAGAGTTAAATGATTATTTAATTTGATTTTTAGGCTTTATTTCGATCTGTGGCAATGATGGTTCCAGATTACGCTCTTATAGCTGAGATTGTCTTATATTCTTGTGGATTCGTAAATGCTAGACCACTTGCAGTGAAGATTGCAGCTACATATAGACTTTGTTCAGAACAACTGTCTTCCCAAAGCCACTATGATTATGGAATGAGAGCAGTAAAATCAGTTCTAACAGCAGCTGGGAATTTAAAGGTAAAACTATTTTGAATCTTTATTAGGTATGGTGCCATTTGTACAGCTACAATCTTTTGAATATGTGAGTTATTTTTTTCTTCAATTGATTTAAGATAACAAGGATTAGATATTTAAACTTCTGATATGGTACCTTACCTCTTCTCACATGTAGCTTTCTCAGTTCAATGCTCCCTTCTATACGCACAATTTTTGTTCATCCCTAGCCTTGAAATTCCCACATAAAATCACACATTTCTGCTGCACTGTTGTATGCAAGGAGTGTGACCCACTCACCTAATGTAACTTACTCCATCAATACTTAATATTCAATCATCACCAGAATCATCACCAGAAAAGGGGAGGATTGATGGAAAATGTGAGAAGAGGTAGCTATCAGAAATACATTTTCAGTGTTGGAAAATGTTAACTTTTGTTTGTTTTTTTGTAATTTTATAATATATGGTGTCAATTATGAAGTTATAATTAAATATTTTAATTATTTGATAATTTTTTATATACTGTTTTTATAAACCTACACTAAACTGTTTTTGTAATGTTTATTTAATGTTCAACTGTTATGTATTAGAATTTCAAATAGCCTGAAATTGAGTTAAATGACACTTTAAATTTTGTAGTGAAATTGTACTTTGGATTGAACAGTTAAGTAAAAGCCAATATATAGTCAGTTTATGATATTTGCCAACATGATTGATACACACAGTTTTCTTTTTTAACACAAATATGTTTTAATATACACATAACAATACAATTTACAATAACAGTTATTACAAATAGTTATTACAAACAGTGATTTATAAACAAAAGTTTCACAAACTTACAAGCAACATAAAGTCTTCCTTTTAGTCTTGAACTTTTTCAGTCCCACTCTCTGACACCAATTTGTTGCGTATCTGCTTGTTTGATAATTTCC